CATTAATCAGATCCACCAAATGTGGTTTCAGCAAGACGGTGCTCCTGCTCACAATGCAGCATTGGTTACCCAGACATTGCATCAAATGTTTCCACGGAAGTGGATTGGCACTAAGGGTCCAGTACGCTGGCCCGCTAGATCTCCGGATCTAAATCCGTTAGACTATTACCTATGGGGATATTTGAAAAATACAGTTTATGCCAGAACAATAGGAGACGCTGCAGATTTGCGAGAACAAATTGTACAAACAATTAATTCAATACCGGAAGCAACCATACGGAGAGCAGCAAATGACATTTGCAGTCGAGCTGCACTTTGTCTTGAAAATGGAGGGGGTCACTTCGAGCACCTCAGAAATTGAGTTCAATATTATTATTTTTACGTTTAATGAAAATTTCTGAAATTGTAAGCTTGATAGCAGATCTTATACGTTAACTTAATTATTAATTTTCTATTTTTCCTGTATTTTCGTCATTCCATCATCAAACATGGAAGTGTGATACATCGATGAATTGGTAATTTTTTGATCTATCGGATGGTGCAAAAATCCAATATGGCGACCATTAGAAAAATCAAAATTTGCTTCAATATCTTCGAATCTAGTGTGCCTAGAATTTTTTTCATATCACCGTTGAATTCGCCACCTTCAGTAAGTGTACCAAATTTCGAAACTCTAGTAAAAACAGTTCAAAAGTTATTGATTATAATAAAAATCGACTATTTTCAGTTTTTTCAGGATATTTCAGGAAATAAGAGGGATGTCCTCGATTTCTTTTGATATTTGAGATGGTCATGAAATTGTGCATTTTTTTCGTAATTTAACGTAGTTCGCATCTCTCTCCGTTTCCGAGTTAACAATAGTGTACCATGAAATTTGCTTCACCCTGTATTCTGCCTCAGTCGTCGACAGGGCAACTGTTCTTTGTTTCTTAGACTCCCAGGATATTGGTCCACCAGATAAAATAAATGAATATCCTGTGTAGGATCGTCTGTCATCTACGCAATTTCCCCAATCAGCATCAACGTATCCTCGGATTCCTTCATTTTCAAATTTATATACAAGTCCCAAATCTGTTGTATCCTTTAAGTAACGAAGCACACGTTAAGCTGCAGTCCAATGATTTCTTCTGAAACAATTATTGAACTGTCCAAGATAACTCACAGCAAAACTGATATCTGGTCTTGTAGCTAAAGCCAAATAAGTCAATGCTCCAATGAGTTCTCTATAAGGTAATGCTTTGTCTTCTTCGCTAGTTTCCTCAAGAGGTTTCATCAGTTTCACATTTGGGCTAATAGGAGTACTAACCGGGTGATAGTTGAACATACCAAAACGATTCAGAATATCGTTTATGTACCCCTTTTGATAAAGTGCTATTTCATTCTGATCCGAAGTGAATTCAATTCCCAAACAATGACAGCATTACCAAAATCTTTTGAGTTCGAACTTCTGAGCTAGTTTTTGTTTCAGTTCGGAAATAACTTTAAGATTGCGAGATGCAATCAAAATGTCATCTACATGAATGGTTATCAAGGTAAGATCTTCCATTTATACGGTAGGGACATGGATCTGCATTCGTCGGTTCAGCACACCTTTTCAAGGCTTGATCCAATTTGAAGTATCAACTTCTTCCGGCTTGACGCAAACCGTATAATGCTTTTTTAAGAGACACGCTTTATTTCCTTCCTGAAGATCATGCAACATGTTGTCTGCTTTCTGTCTGATATTGATGTCAATTTCTTCATTATCAACAATCATTTACAAAATTTCAGGAAGTTGTTTAGGTGGAGTCATATAAATAACTTCATCAAGTTCACCGTTCACCAGATAAGCGCATGTCACGCCTAGTTGCTGAAGTTGCATTTCCATAGCATACTGCTAGTGCTACTACAAATCTCACAGAACTGAGATGTGCAACGGGAGCAAAAGTTTCATTGAAGTGAATTCCCGGCTGCTGGCTAAATCCTTGTGCAACAAGTCGAGGTTTCCTTCGATCAAGCGAACCATCAGCTTTATATTTGTTCTTCAAAACAATTCGGCTCCCAATTACATCTTGATCTGTGGGGCAATCGACAATCGTCCATCTTCATTGTCATTCTTTAGAACTGAACATATTTCGTTCCCAATCGCATGGTACCATTCAATGACTTCTGGTCCATGTAAAGCCTGTTTCATCGGTGTTTCACATATAAAAACTCCTTCAGATGTATCAGCATATATAGCATGAGAAATTACATTGTAAATTTCCCGAGGTCTTCCCCTCAAACCGCTTCTGACTATTCGAGGTCGTCCTCTTCCACGTGTTTCTCTTGACATTCCTCGTACTCCATCCTGATCATCTCCAGAGTTTTCATCTCAAGTCCTGAATGCAAGCAATTATCTTGAACCTCTACAATTCGATCATCACCTTCATTTCCAGTCTCAATTAGAAGATTAAGAAATTCTACAACTCGATGTGTTCTTCCTTCTGTGAGTTTATCTGGTTCGATAATATTTTCCGGGATGAAATCGGTATATCGATCAACAACTGGTGATCCCGATTTTTCTACGAACTTTACATCTCTCGTGATCGAAATTTTCTCATCCGAAGATATCCAAACTCGGAATCCTTTGGTTTGTTCAGAATATCCGAGGAAAATGCCTTCTTTACATCTTGTGTCGAACTTTCCCTTACTGGGTTCTCGATTTCAACAAACTTTACTACCGAATTCTCTGAAATATCCGACCTCTGGAACTTTTCCTAACGAAATTTCATACGGCGTTTTTCCGTTCAAACTTTTCGTTGGACAACGATTTCCTATGTAATTTGCAGTGTAGACTGCCTCAGCCCAAAATGATGGCGGTAATCCAGACTGCATCAAAAGACAGCGAGCAGAATTCAGAAGAGTTCTATTTTTTTTTCTCTGTGATGCCGTTTTGTTTGGGTTGTAAGGAGCTTTCAATCTTCGTACTATTCCGTTCATTTTCATGCATTTCATCTTCTTACCCTTTTGTTTTTCAACAATGGTGATGAACTCCTTCGTCTTCTTGATCACCTCACTTTTTGAACTGATAAATCGTATTTCACACCATCTAGAGTGATCGTCTATGAATTCGACGTAATACTTGGCCTTTCCGTTGGATTCTACTCTCATTGGTCCACATACGTCTGTGTTATAATTTCCAACATTTCCGTTTTTCTATCGGATTTCTTGGGAAAAGGAGTTCGAGTCATTTTCCCTTTGTAACAGATATCACACTCAAGTACAACATTATTGCCTACAGATCTCAAGTCGATACCCTGTACAGTATCTTTCCGAACACATTCACGAATGTCTTTCGAATTTAAATGTCCTAGGCACCGATGTCACATCATGATGATTTCTTCAGGCGTTTTGAAAATACATGCAGATTCTACAACGCTCTTATCATTATTCGAGGAAAAATCACGAACGTAGTACAAATCTCCAATGCGATTGGCTGTCAGTCAGACATTACCATTTGCATCATATACTAAAGCACAGTCTTTCTTAAATAAAACTTCAAAATTATTCTTGGTAATTTTCCCTATAGACAACAAATTCGTACGCAAATCAGGTACATGCAAAACATCACTAAGTGTAGGTAACTTTCTTAGCTTCACCAAGAACATCATCAGCGAATTGAACTTCACCTATCGCTAAGATTTCCGTCGATGTGTCATTTATGGACGGAGTCATTTATTTTGACGAAACTATCAATGTCTTTGCATGAAAACAATGAATTTTTTTTTTCTCAATTTTTGCCAATGTTGAATCTAATTATTATTAGGTTCTTTTGGCTGTTCAGTCGGTTCAAAAAAGTATCAATTTTTTCACCGGATTGAATTTTTGGCCGAATGACCCTGCTATTCGAATTTCAATTGATTTAATTATGTGATTCCACGTGTCCTTTTATAATAGGTATGTTTTCTCCTCAATATGTCATATTATTCTTGTAAACCAATATCTTTACAGGTACTATAATATATTGTGTCTGAAGATGGCTTGAGCCGAAACTAGTCACAAAACTTTTGTAATTAAACTTTGTGGTCGACCGACTTAGTGTTTGTGTTTTTTTTTCTTTTTATTCCTTTGAAGAAATCAGGACCACTTTGAGAAGGATGGATGGTTTCCATGACTTTCCTATATCTATTCATTTGTTCACTTTACATCTTACAATAACAAATGACGGCTTATGCGCAAAAAGATAGAAAAACGAAATGGAAGACACATGAATTATCCATTGTGGACAAAATTCGATAAAATTCAACGGATAAGCTGATGGTCCATAGTCATTGATGACTTTATGATATTGGGGAATCTATATCCTTCATTCATCGTTCAACCAGTACTCTTTCAGTGATCTTTGTAAAATGAATTATATACATTGGTTACCCAATGCCGTAAAAAATAGTCTAATCATGATTCACATAAATTCATAGGAAATATACTATTCGAGATACTATTGTACCAGCACAATTGAAGTGCAACATACGTATTATATGAATGAAACAGCAGTGGACAGGTACTTTTTAATCACCTAAAAATTATGCCAGCAATATGCCAACGATTGAATCAATGGGTCATATCGCCCGGAAATCTAAATGGAGAGGTATTTTACTTTAGGATAATTCAACTCATCAACCTTTTTTTCAAATTACAAATTCAAAAATGCTATCATACACAGGGTGTCTCATTTGAAATAACAAAGATGATACTACTATTTAGTAAAATGGGCAACGTCGCACCTATGAAAATATTTTGTATCGATAGATCACTAACACTGGAGTAAGTAATTTTGTAACCAAAGTTTCAGAATGCTTCTAAGGTACCATCGACCGTGGGTCACCCTGTTTGATGGTGTTGAATATAGATACTAGATCTCTGATGTATATAGAGTGTTCAAATTCATAGTAGCTGATTGCCCACGAATGATTTAATCTTTTGTAGTATTTCTTGTAAAAGCATTAATATTGATTTTCAATATTTCTTATGATCACCAGCCCCACAGAAATGGAAACAATAGAAATGGGAGTGAATATCGCAGGACCAGTTCTCAAGAAAAATCCTTCAATTTTACTTTTGGCTCCACATTTTCGGTTAGTAAGGCTATTACATTACCGTCTACAAGATGGGGATCTCTCATCATTAGATGCCCTACTAGGATGTATGGTAGCCCTACCAGAACTAAATGATATAGACGATTTCGATTCAGATCAGATGAAAGAAGTGGCTGATTGCTTGTTCCATTGTGCTAATTGGTTCAGGGAAGTCATAAGTGGCTTTGTTACGAAGAATAAGAGATATCTTAGGTCGAAAGTTATAAGGAGACTTGAGGTTAGTTAAATTATTTTTATTTCACCTTCTGAATATTTGCATTATGGCTTAAGGATCTAGTAGACGTCGAGATGAAGCTTCAGAGATGTTTGGAGAAAGTACCAGACCATAAGCTACCATCAAGCTATTTTAATGATGGCACCGAACATAACAAACAACCAATTCCTCCATCCAAGAATGAATCGAAAATAAGGAATCCAAAAAAGAAGTTGAAAACAGCTGAGACAATTAATGAACTAGATGATACAGCCACTATGACTATCAGACCTTCTCAAGGCAAAAGAAAAAAATCTTCTAAAGTGATCAGTGCAGAAAATGTGATACAATTCAGGGATTTGGACACAGATATAGTTTTGTTATTGAAGGTAATACAATATCCAATTATGAATGAGTTGGTCAAGGCATTTCAAAACTTAAAAATCTATATTATATAAAGTATTTTGTTGTCCTGAATTAACGAATCAATTAGCCTCATTTGATTGATATCGGCTCCGGGTCGATCGTGAATTTTAGTGTTCAAGGGTTTTGCTTCAGAATATAAGAAAAATAAATTACTAACAATTTCAATCGAGTGGTTACAGCTATTTACCCCTTTTTCATTGCTGGTGGAGTTATGGTTAATGCAACCTTTAGATTCTGAGGAATACTTGAACGATTCTGCTCGCTCAGAGAGAGACAGAGTGAGTCATAGCAACTATAGACCACTTCTTTCGAAAAAAATAATATAAAAATGTCATTGAACATATTCATTCACTGATGGTGAATGATACTGAAATAATTTAAACCAAACATGAAAGGAATATTCCTGACCCTATATATAATCAGTATGCTCGGTATTAACATACCGCCCACCATAAAAAAACAAGGATATTTTAGAGTAATATTTGACTAGCCAACGCACATACCTTGACCTAGGGCCACTTGAACTCTTATCAACCTTCACGGTTGCGACTTTATGGAGCGCACGAAAAGGAATTCCTACCTTGTTTCAGTAACATCGTGCGTACCTAGGGAGGATAGGGAGAGAAGGTATGTATTGGAATTTTTGTGAACTTTATCTGAACCTGGGTGAATTCCAGCTATTCGACCTGTAGCGGGATTATGAACAGTCATTACACACACACATTTTTTATTATTTTGTCGAAATATTGTGATGAAATTTTGTATGAATATGTTTCAGAAGCTGCCACATAGCATGAATTTGTTTATATATCTGACTCTTATAGAGGGCGGTAGTTACACCGTTTGTACCAAGTAGTTTCAAACATAACTTTTTGAAGGCTAGATTTTCTAGTGCGATCTCCATGAGAACTCGAACATCATCAAATTTTACAGCAAAACAATACTTTTAGTGAAACTCGATACCACTACTGTGTTATCATTTTTTGGGAATATTTTGATATGATTTTTCATTTATTTCTTGAAGCGCACGAAAGGGAATTCCTATGTTGGTCAAACATCGTGTGTAGGATAGGGAGAGGAGGTAGTTAGTGGAATTTTTCACTTCTGCAGATTACAGGTTCTTAGGAAAACTTCTTTGGCAGAGAATTCCAAAGCTTTGCCGTTCTATAGAGAAGCGAGAGTTGTTCGACAAATTTCGAGGTTGACGACAAATGGATGTGCTGTCTGGGCTTGTCGATTACGTCTGACTGGTATTGCTAGTGATGTAATGATAGCAGAGATTTCTGAAAAACATTTCTCGTCGGAGTATCTATAGAGAAGGGAAAGTCACAAACTTTTTTACGGTGTTCCAATGATGTCAAAGAATGAGTGAATGTGGCATCACCCACCAGACGAATGGCTCGTCTCTGGATTGAATCTGAAAGCATGAGTATGTGTTGAAGCCTCGGGATATAATCTTGGTCCCTGGGTAATACTGATTTTCTTCACACCCCTCGGTAGTAAAGAATAATATTACCACGGGACCTTATAATCTTGGTCCCTGGGTAATACTGATATTCTTCACTATTTAGGGGTATAAATAACTATAAATGATGGAAAAAATGAATTGTTGTTGTTCTAAAATTGTTCTATCCGTCATTCGGTTGCCCCCTTACGAGCAACCCTCAGAAGTCTTCGAGAGTCTTGTGCGAGCAAGGAATGACGGGGGCCTTTTACCTTTTAACGTGTGATCCCAAACACTTTCTTGGGCCATCAGAGAATTACGTGAAGAAAATTGAGGTGAATCTAAATAAAAACATGAAATATTCAATGAGTTTGAATAAATGTTCAAAATATCCTCCTTTTTCAGGAATACACCTTTCCATCCTTTTTTGTTTAGAGAACACATCAATCTTCTGAACATTGAAGTGATGTTCGATTCTATATTTCATTATATAGACCGCCTCAAAGTAAGGTTACTGATTTTATTGAAATCTTTGAAGATCGTCTAGCTGAATATTGCTCTAACGAGATAATATGCGGGGGAGATTTGAATATTAATTTAATTGAACAGACACAAAATGCAGAAAAAATTCAAAACACTATTGAGACATTTAACCTGCAACAGATTATTACATATCCAACTCGTATAACAAACAATAGCGATACACTATTGGATGTCATATTGATTTCCACGAACGAGATCAACTTCACAAGTGGTACTATAGATACTTCAAATATGTCAGACCACTCGCTGGTATATTGCAGTTTGAATAAGGAAGTGGAGAACGAAAATCGTAAATCAAAAACAAGAAATTTGAAAAATATTGATAGAGACCTCCTAGAAACATTTCTGGCCAACGCCCCATTTGAGTTTATGATCCATTTACCAAATGTTAACGAAAAAGTGTCATATTTGAATAAATTATTACTTGAAATATTCGATATCTTGGCACCTGTTAGAGAATTTGAAGTCAGAAATAAAAAGCCAGGTTGGTTAACAGATAACCTTAAAGCAATGATAAGGCTTAAAGAGAGAGCATACAAAAAATATATCAAAACAAAAACTGATGCGAATTTTAATTATTATAAGCAAGTGAGAAATCAAACCAATATTGCCCTGCATAATGAAAAAAAGAGTTACTTAGAGCACTGCATAACAAGAAATATGAGCAATTCGAAAGAACTTTGGAAAACATTGAAGGAAAATAATATTTATAGAAAAACTCAGCATGTAGAGATGCCGGGTCAACTCGATATTCCAGAAGATATAAACAAACATTTTCTACAATTCTCTACAAGAAACACTCCTCCTGATGATTATGTCTTGAATTATTATAAAAGCAACATTAAAACTGATTTTGTGGAATTATTTAGTTTTCATACAGTTTCTGTAGATACGGTTAAAACATATCTATTAGAGGTTACCTCTACTGCCATAGGGTCAGATCAGATAAGTTTAGAAATGATTCTTCTATGTTGTTCAAGAATTCTTCCGTTCATCACCAATATAGTAAATTCCTGTATTTTGGATAACATCTTTCCAGATGACTGGAAAATCGCCAGTTATTCCATTACCAAAAAAAAAAGATCCGTCTGCCTATAACGATTTACGACCTGTTAGCATTTTACCAGTTTTGTCGAAGGTTATTGAGAAAATTATGAATTATCAAATCAGGGAACATCTGAATACTTTCAATATATTGCCACAAAATCAATCAGGATTCAGACCAGGATTCAGTTGCACCACTGCTTTACTAAATATCACAGATGACATTATAAGAGCAACAGATCAGGGAAAATCAACAGCTTTGGTGCTTCTTGATTATTCGAAAGCATTTGATACCTTGAATGATTCCTTGTTAATATCTATATTACATTTCATTGGATTCTCTGAGAATGCGATCGAATTAATGAGGGATTATCTAACAAACAGACTTCAATTTGTAGAAACCAGCAAAGGTGTTTCAACGAAACAACTTTCAGTATGCGGAGTTCCTCAAGGTTCAATACTTGGCCCTCTTTTGTTTGGTATATACACATGTAATTTAACAACGTGCCTGATGCATTGTTCTGTTCATTTATATGCAGACGACACACAATTATATTTGTCTTTTTTCCCAAGCGATAAACAACTAGCTCAAGATAAAATTAACTCTGATTTAAATCGATTAATCGCATTTTCAGATAACCATAATTTACAATTGAATGCATCAAAGTCATCAGTATTAATATTCGGTAGACAAAAGCAGTTGGTAGAATCGGTGTTTAGTGTTAAAATTCAAGATAATTCTTTGCAGTGCTCCAAAAATTCAAGAAATCTCGGTCTCGAATTTGATACTCATTTACGTTTCAAGCCGCACGTTAATAAATGTATCCAACGAGCGTATGGTAGCTTGAAAATGTTGTACCCTAATCGCCATTTGTTGTCAGAGTCATTGAAAATAAAATTAACAGATTCACTGGTGCTGAGCCACTTTAATTACTGCGATGCTGTATATGGACCGTGTATAGATAAGAAAGATAGTGAAAGAATCCAGAAAGTTCAAAAATCGTGCTTAAGATTCATCTATGGCATTCGCAAATATGAAAGTATCTCCTTCAAATTGAAGGAAACCCAGTGGTTGAGCATGGAAGAAAGACGTAAAATCCATGCAGTGAATTTATTCCATAATATTATATTCACCAAATGCCCTCCTTATTTATGTAATAAAATAAAATACAGAACTGATGTACATACGTTGAATTTAAGATTCAAAAGTTATATTTCTCCCCCACCTCATCAAACACAGCATTTCCAACGATCATTCACTTATAATGTATTTAAATTATTTAATGAACTGCCATATGAAATGAAATCTTTGAAACCGGAAACTTTTAAAAAATCATACAAGAATCTCGTCATGAAATACTGAACTATATACATGAAGTATTAACTGATTTTCAATCTTCAACAGCCAACTTAGTAACAATTACATTGCGGAAATATTCTATTTTTTTAAATTATATAATTCCAGGGGTTGAACTAGGATCAATTTTAATTGTTTTCAACCCCTTTTTGCAACTAATATTGATTATCTGATTTATGAAATGTATTATGCATATTTATAGTTGTGAATAAATTATTATTATTATTTATGTGAGTTTACGTCTCTAGCATACACATTTCCACTTTTTCCTTACCAAACTGATTCCATGTTTTTAGTCAAATTCATTTTGATTTTATGCTTGTGTTTGATTGATAACTTGAGCATATTAGAATGCTGTTATTACTTTTGGCTCTGAACTCTATTCATACACAAATTTTCTCGAACACAGGTGACATTACAATGTTCTGAAGGAACTGGCTTGAATGAGGAAATGAGTTGTACAAAAATTAAAACTACCCCTCGACAAACCACCGATTAGCACATACCATTATCTTTTTTCAAATTATTGTGGTATGTCATTGTGTTTGATAATTCATGAATCAGAGAGCCTAAAA